CCGGAGTTGGAGGTCGCGGTGGTGGAGGCGAGGCCGGAGTGGAGGAGGGAGTTGCCGGAGTTGGGGAAGGAGAGGGGGTTCCGGCCGGATCCGGGGAGGTGCGGCGCGGGGTCCGCGGCGGCGAAGCTCCGGCGTGGCGCTCGCCGGAGACGGTGGCCGGCGACGATGGCGGTGGTCGGGCGCGCGGCGGCGGCGCACTGGAGGAGCGGCGCGGGGCGCAGCCGGGCTGCGGGGCGCGGTCAATGGGCCGCGGGGGCCGGATCTGGGTCCCACAGGCCGGATCTGGGTCCCGCGGGCCGCGTCGAAGTGGGGCGGCGCGGGGATGCGTGGCGGCTCCTGGTTTGTCCGGGCGGCGGCGCGGGTGTCCGGCCCGGACGGACACGTCCGGTGGCGGCGGGGGACGAAAATTAGGGTTTTGGACCCGGAATTTGGACGAGGAGCACATATATATAGGTGGGAGGAGGTAGGAGTGTCCAAATGGGGTGTAGTTTTCACCCACGCGATCGTGATCCGACGGCGGAGGACATGGAAGAGGTTTGGAAGGGTTATTGGGCCGTTTTGGAGGGGGTGTTGGGCTGTAACACACACGAGGCCTTTGCGGTTCCCCGGTTAACCGTTGGAGCATCAAACGGACTCCAAATGGAACGAAACTTGACAGGCGGTCTACCGGTGGTGTACCAAGGCCGCTTGGAAAATCTCGATCCATCCCAAGAAAGTTTAACACCCGCTCATGAAAAAAGGAAAAGGGGAACGACGGTGCATGTAGGAGTGTCGGATTGCAAAACAGACAGCGGGGAAAAAGCTCGGATCCATGAGACGAACACGTATGCAAAAGAGATGCACGTGATGACATGATATGAAATGCATGACATGAACAAAATGCAAAACGAAGACAAAACCCAACCACGAAGGGAATCTCATAACTTAAAGCCGAAAATGGCAGAGTCGGAGTTACAAATATGGCAAGTTACATCCGGGGTGTTACAATTCTTCGCCATCCTCTTCACCATCTTGTTCAAGTGAGCTCAGGCATGTAGTGTTTTTGCTCGACGAGACAACATACGAGACCCCAACCCTCTCCACCGGCTTGTGGAACTTGTTACACTAGAATTGTTGTTTTTCAAGCACGCCCGTGTAGGCTGACCTGTAAGACGTATTCGACTTGATTGAAAACCCCACCATCAAAGCGTAGTGATTGTAGTGTTCCCTCGCATCGACTAATGTGTCAAAGCGCATGCCAACATAAGGTTGATGTGGCTGTGACCCAGCTTCTTCGTCTTCCAACTCATGTGTCTCATCAACTAAAGCATTAGCAAGAGCAACCATAGGTGGGGAGCAGGGACATGATTGTTCGGGACATGAGTACTATTAGAGTCAATGTTAGGGTCAGGGGACTCACCAACCCCCTCCTCCAAATGGTGATCCTCCTGCTCATAACCTGCATGTAAGAAGGGTGTACCCAACTCAACTGAAATGTTGACGGATTCTACGTCAAGTGGCGGTTCATTCAGATCAATCATGTTTTTTCCAGCTACTAATTGTCTTTTTTTGTCACCACATAAACCTGCAACAAACTGTGTGTTAGCCCATCACATTGCATCATCTGTTGCAGACATTAGTTCCAGAATAAAAGGAGCAACTACAAGCAGTTGTTTGGGAAACTATAGTGTTAAACAGAGGCAACTTATCTATTCATTATTGTCAAAAAGTTTATGTTTCTTTTTTTTCTTCTACCTTTTATGTTTCTAGTAGTATGACACCCATATATAGCGGCAAATCACAATGTTTTACATTTTTTGCTCCTTTTTTCAGTAGCAGAAAATCACAATGTTTGATGATGGAAAGAAGGTGCATCTGACGGAGAGCTTACCAGGGGGCAGAAGACCTATATTTGGTGTAGTTTATACTCTTTTTATTTTTTTAGTGAGAACCATTTGCAACGTAGCAAAGTACATGAATGTGGGTTTTTTTCGTTTGTGTCTCGGCGAGAACGATAGTGAAACACAAAAATTGTGTTTTTAGCACACGCATGCTACTACTATTGTTCTAACATGAGTTTTTATGCTTATATACTTCATGTGTTTTTTATTTTGGCTGATGCAAAATGCACCTTAAATCAGCATAGGAGTTTTGCATGTGTTTAGAAATAGAGTTGGCCAGTTCTATAGTCCTTATAAAGGCAACTCTAGACTTTTTTCACAGCTATGATGCCCAAAGCTGCGCAATGGTCCTGCACATTGATATTTTTTGCATACAATTGTCTCAATGAATACAATATTGTTGCTTCATGTTTACAGAAACAATATTTTTTAAGGGTTGGCTGGGTTTGTACCATCTGTCTGCTAAACAACACATCAATTACCCATTTTTTATACTAGAGTGCCCATTTTCTGGTCATATGTTGTTTTAATCGACACAGTTCATTACCCCCCGGTTGCTGCATGCATACAATGAGGTTTTCCTAGGGTTTTTGGCACAAAACAGTTGAGTAGTTGCACCCTTTATCTGCTAGCAAACACTGAAGTTGTCCAGTTTTGGTACTTGAGTTGTCCTTTTTTTCATCTAGTGTTGCTTTTTGTCTTACTACAGTTGTACATCAAGGCACACAATGCATTATATGCAGTTGCCCCATGCATACAGTAGGGTTGCCTAAAAGCAGTCGACCAGGTGCTCTTGGTTTTTCACCAAAGCAAAAAAAAACCAGTTGATGTTTCAAAACTGGCACAGCTGGGGTGGCTGAGCAAGCAATACATGATCGAAGACCAAAGAGGAGAGAGGGCCGGGGGAGCGGGTGCTTACCTACTTGGGGGGAGGTAGGCTCTCTTTTTCGTTCTCCAGATCTGATCTCCAGGAAGAAAGGAGGAGGAAGGAGGAGTCTCTGTATGTGTTTCTTCTTCCTCAAGACGCCATTAATGGGGAAGGCAACCTGTCCCTTGTTCTCCAGATCTGTTTTGAAGGAAGAAAGGACAAGCAGGGATGAGGAAGGGTCCCCTGCGTATTCTTGGTCTTCAAGTAAGAGGAGGGAAAGAGGTTGCGTGAGACCAGAGCAGGGGTGGGCGAGGAGACCAGTCGCGGGCTGGGAGAAACACGCGAGGCGCTGGCGAGAGGACCAAGACGCTCGATCGGGTGCGTGGGGGGGCGCGTTTCCTTTCCTGGGCTGTCTTGACGGGGCCGCGCGGCTGGCCCTTCCTTTCGGGGAGAGCGCTCGCTCCGCGAGCGGGCGTTTGGGCGCCAGGTAGCTACGTCCTTATTTTATTAGTTAAAATTATGATCAAAATAACCTAAAATAGAGGGGGTATAATGCATGCAGCTCCTGCATGATTGGAGAAAAATCATTAAGATGCCGCTGGCCTAATTTTTGCATAAGAAAAATCAAAGTCAAAGCTAGAGAGCTAGTTGAGCCGTGGATCAGTCAGCAATCTCGGCCACTGCTCTTCTCAGTTTCTCACGGTGCCGCAGGTACTCCCGCCCTCAAAATAAAGCCACGCTTCCACACGGTCGCCGCTCCCCGCCGCCGCCGCCGCCACCACCACGACCTCTGCGCCCATCGCAGAAACGGGCGGCTCCCGCTCTCGGCTCCAGTGGTGTCTCTCGCGGTCGCAGCTGCGGATTTGTTGATCTCGCCGGCGGCGGTGCTCGCCTGACTTCCATCGAATAGGTATGGACTGTGAGGTACCCTGCTCTACTTGTCAGCTTCTGCAGTGAAATTTGTTGGTGTTTTAGAAGCATTAGTGTGGTGGCACCGCGGTGTGGTAAGTGGCGTGTTCCTTCACATGGATCTTGCTGGATAAAACCAATTGTGTACCCGCTAATCTGCTACCATGGTACTGTCGTAGTTGACACCATAGATCTTACTGAAATTAAGGTGACAACAATAATAAAAGCAACTTTTTACCTGCTAGCCTGCTTCTTTTACAGGGCGATTTCATATAATAAAAGCAATCTTAATTAACCAGTTGTCATAGTCGACAAGTTTCATGATGCATACTTGATATGGGTATGCTTGCTTTGGAGAATTTGACAAGTTCTGCATTCCACTGTTCTTCAACCCTCTGATGACTCTAATATATATGCATACCTTGCTACTATCTACGCAGACCAATTAGTTTACTCTTGATGATCAAGAAAGCACAACTTTTGCCCTACTGTGTACAGTCAAGAAAAAAGAAAGCACAACTTTTGTGTGTATATGCAGACACAAACTGATCTTTATTTGCTAGTGGGTACAACTAAATACTGGCTCATCTGACCGACTGGATTGGAGGCAATGAACAATGCATATAGATTGGACCGCAATATCTGGCGATGTTCGCTGGGAGGGGTTGGCATTTGCGAACATTTTAGATGGCAAGTTTAGTTGTATGGGGTTGGTGGTTTAGTGAGTCCCAAAATTGGGGGCCCTACAATTTGTTGTATTGTGCACGAAATGATGCTTTCAAAAGGCATAAAGTAACTTCCATGAATCATGCAACTCGATTCCTAATTCTAGTTCTAGTAGACTTAGTCAGTTAGTGTAGCGACTCAAAGGTATTTTAACCCATAATTCTAGATCTTCTATTCTAGCAATAGTTCGACTGAATCTGGTACAATTGGATAAATAGCATGGTTATCATTTATTTATGTGTCTATGTAACAAGAGTTCATGTCTACTTCTTTAGTACAGTTATGTAATTTGGAGAGTGGTTGAGTTCCAATAGATATTGAAAGTTTGCATGTGCATCCTGAATTGACTGTGACATTGAGTGTTTTTTCTTTTTTACTAAATTGTTAAATTAGGTTTATGTACTTTTCTAGCATTCTTGTGTATTTAGGTTGGCAATTGACGCTTATGAGGTTATGATTGTCGTTATGGTTGTTATTCAGTATGATACCTACAGACCTACCTCTCTCTGATGATGCATACATATATCAGCAGGTGTTTGCTTTGTCGCGCTGAAGGTTGTGGCCATTTTCTACAAAACTGGGCATCTTGGTAACTACACTCATAAAGCGTCCAACAGATGGTGAGCGCCTTGGCAGGGGTGATGACCTCTGTCATCGGCAAGCTCACCACTCTGCTTGGGGAGGAGTACTCAAAGCTGAAAGGTGTGCACAGGGAGGTGGAATTCATGAAAGATGAGCTGAGCAGCATGAACGCACTCCTTCAGAGGCTGGCAGAGGTGGACCGTGATCTTGATGTGCAGACAAAGGAATGGAGGGACCAAGTTCGGGAGATGTCTTATGACATCGAGGATTGCATAGACGACTTTATGAAAAGCCTTGGCCAAACTGACATTGCTAAGAGAGCAGGGCTTGTCCAAAGTGTGATCCAGCAGCTCAAGGCGCTGAGGATGCGCCATCAAATATCCAGCCAAATCCAGGGGCTCAAGGCACGTGTTGAAGATGCAAGCAAGCGACGTATGAGGTATAAGCTCGATGAGCGCACCTTTGAGTGTGGCATCTCAAGGGCCATTGACCCTCGTCTTCCTTCGCTCTATGCTGAGCCAGACGGGCTTGTCGGTATTGACAAGCCAAGAGACGAGCTCATCAAGTGCCTAATGGGGGGGGTGGGTGCATCGGTGCAGCAGCAAAAGGTGATATCTATTGTGGGTCCTGGGGGCCTCGGTAAAACTACACTTGCGAATGAGGTGTACCGTAAACTGGAAGGCCAGTTCCAGTGTCGAGCTTTTGTTTCTTTGTCGCAGCAGCCTGATGTGAAGAAGATCCTAAGAAGTATACTCTCTCAAGTCAGCCAGCAGGAGTACGCTAACATAGATGTTTGGGATGAGGAAAAGCTCATCAATGCAATCCGAGAATTTCTAAAGAACAAAAGGTACTCATAAATTTTGGATGGATCGTACTTTTTTCGGGAAAACGCAAAAGCTTTGTGTTTCATTGTATTGAAAAGAAAGAGTGTTTTATGTTACAGTCCTCCTAGGAGGCGAATTACAGTCAGGGGACATGAGTTAGTGCACGTCCCAGGTCGGGGGCAAGACTACTCTGAGTCCACCAGCGCCTGCCGTAGCCCAAAGTTTGGCCTCCTCCTTGATGCCGTGAACTAGCGCCCGGATGGAAGGGCGTGCGTCGTTGAAGACGCAATCGTTGCGGTGCTTCCAGATCATCCAGGAGGTAAGAAGTGTCGCGGATGCCAGCCCCTTGCGCATCGCCTTGGGCGTGACCTGCCGGGCATCATGCCACCAATCAAAGAGGGTAGCCTCGTTGCTCGGGGGTCTGCATGTCATGCGCATCCAGGAGAGGATCTCGAACCAGACGTGCCTCGAGAAGGAACACCCAAGGAGGAGATGGCGCATTGTTTCAGGCTCCTGGCAGCAAAGAGGGCAACTGTTGTGGTGCTGCAGTCCATGCCGGGCGAGGCGGTCCGCCATCCAACATCGGTCCAAGCTGACAAGCCAGAGGAAGAACTTCACTCTGGGGGGTGCCCAACTCTTCCATGTGAGCCTCCAGTTGCCGCAGGTCATCGAGCCGTGGAAGGAAGCGGCGTATGCAGATTTAGCGGTGTAGATGCCCGACACCGTCCACTTCCACACGAGCTGGTCAGGCGCGTCGTAGAGCGTTGTGTTAGGTTGATCTCTCCACCAATGGGCCCAACGGCTCATTGGGCCCTTGACCCACACCCTGATCGGGGGCGTCCAACCCAAGCAAGGCTGGTGGGCCCCTATCGCGCAGTGCTATAAAGAGGAGGTGGGGACCAGGGGCACAGGGTACGAGGTTCGTCACCGCCACTGTTCCCCACTCCTAACCCTATCCGATCCAGAGGGAGGCATTGAAGCGATGGGAAGCTCCACCGCCGCCACTCACGCACTTCACTGTTGACCTCTACACCAACCGTCGCTGCCCGTGCGCAGACCTTCATCGAAGGACCAGCTATGGCCGGAACGCTAGGTATACGCGCAAACAGATCATAGATAGTTCAATCTACTCCGAAACCCTAGCCTAGTCGATCCTATGAGTATAACATTGGTATCAGAGGCAAGGAAAGGCATCGGTTTTCGGGTAGAGATTAAATCAAAGCAAATAAAAGGAAATCAATGAAAAGAAAGTGTCGCCGCTGTGTCGCGCCGTTCCTCTCGATCTAGATGTGCATCGACCATCGAGGCATCTAGAAGAAGAAACGAACCCTACCCTTGACAGATCGGATCGAATCCGAAACAAAGAAAGAACCCCAACAAGGGGATAAAGAAGGCACCACGGCCAAACCATTCGACGGCGGCGCGCTCACCGCAAGGGGAACGCGTCACCGGCGAAGGGATCGGCAACGGCGCAGGCAAACCACGCCATTTGGCACTGCAAGGGACAGAGGACGGTGCATCGCGCTCGTTCCTTCTCTGTCAGAGAAAGAAAAAGAGGGAGAGGGAAGGGCTCGCGCGACCCGATGGCAACCGCCGCCGGCGGCCGGGACGTGCGCCCGAGCCGCTGCCATCTGATAACAGAAGAGCAAGGGGAGAGGGGCGCGCACGCCGCGTCTCTCTCTCTCTCTCTCTCTCTCTCTCTCTCTCGCTGCAACAGCTGTGCCGTGGTGGTGGGTGGAAAGAGTAGGGAAAGGTGGCGCTGGCTCAGCGCAGTGGAACCGCTGTCGTTGCCGGCGGCCGGCCCGGGTGGCGCGACGGGAACGGTAGCGAGATCCGCGCGCTGCGGGCGTTTTGCGGCGCACAGAGGAAGGCGCAGTTTCTCTCCCTCTCTCTACTAGGTGGCATGGGACGGAAAAGAAAGAGACGGGAGAACGAGCTAGACGCGCTGGTGCTGCTCCTCGCCGTCGTCGCCGGCAAGCTGCCGGGACACTGCATCGTCTCCTCGCGCTCGCCGCCGTCGTGCAGGCGAGAAAATCGCGAGGGAGGAGAGCGGCGCGCGCGGGGGGAATGAGCTAGGGTTTGCTCCCCTCGACGGCACTGGAGCCGTTTTTGGCCAGCCGATCGGCGCGGGTGACCGTCGGATCTGATCCGACGGCCAGTTCCAAACCCTAGCAGGCACCGGGCTAGTGGGCCGAGCTGGCGCGGCTTGCTGCCGATTTGTGGGCTGGAAAAGGAGCAGGCCAACTGCAGCTAGCGCTGGGCCGTGGCCAACGGCAGCTAGCGCCGGGTCGAGGCCACTGCCTCGCACGCTGGGCCAAGAAAATATAGAAAAGTAAACAGAAAGTGTTTCTGAAAATGAAAATAAAAACTTTTCAGATAAAGAAAAGTTCATGAATTTTATAAAGGAAATAATAAAGTTCATGAATTTTTATTTGGTCAAAGAAAAGTTTCTGTAAAGAATAAAAGTTCTTGAATTTTATTCATGTTTTCCGCTGCAAAGTAAAAGTTTTATCTTCAAATTAAATTGGAACCAATGGAAAAAAAATTAATTGGAAGAACTTTAGCAATGTTTTTCCCCTGTGGGTGAAATCAGATTCAGATAGTTTCCGCTATGACAAAAGAAAGATATTTGTTTTAAAGTTGAAATATGGTATTGTTATTTTCTGACCAACGTTGATGATAACAGTACCATAATTGTTCAAAGCTTACATCTCTGATAAATTTTGTATGAAAGTGATCAATTTTCAGAGAACAATTAAAGATAATGAAATGCTCTTGAACTAGAGAAATGTTTATTTCTTGTTTCCGCTGCAATAAAGTTGATGATGATGATTATTTCTTAGCAAAGTTGTTTAATAGAAATATTATCATCACATTGTTTGTGAGTTATATGCATTATTTCCATTTCCGCCCAACGGTGATATGGAATTAATGTTGAAGGATGATGTTTTATTCTAATTCTACCACAACGATGATTTAGAGTATACAAAGGAAGTTTTAAAAGGTTTAATGTGCATATTTTTTAACCAGACCAACGTAGGGTTATTTTTATGCTCATTATTGTTGATTATTGGTTAAGTTTTTCTCAGACTAAAAGTTTTACATGCTTTCATTAGTGAAAGCGAATGACTGGGTACTTGTGACCCGAAAGATGACCAAGAAAGGTCATAACGTGAGGGAGTATGTTCTCTCTAAAGAATGGCTTCAAAAGAAAAGAATTCTTGGATATTAATCCAAGAAAATAAAAGAGATAGATCATTGAGAGTCTTGGTTGACGAATGTCTTTCATGTACTCTCTATGAAGAAGATTTTTCATTCAACATGATTTGAAATGAAACAAGCAACATGTGTGTTTAATTTTGACCAACGTCAGATCAAGCATGTGTGTCAAAGAGCATTCGGATTTATTCTGAATTTGATGATTGAATATGCAGTCAAAAGAGCCAATTCTGGCATTTATGTCCCTTACAAGGAATTACCCGCATAGCGGGAAAAGATGATTATGATAAAACCCGCATGGCGGGGAAAAGTTTGGGAAAATACCTGTGTAACTAGGTAAAGTTGGTAAAGTTGACATAGTATTATGTCGAAAATCCTATATGCCAGGAGAAATTTTGGCAAAAGACTTATCTTGTATGACAGGAGAAAGATATGATGACTCATGTGTGTTTAATGTGTCCCACTCCGAGAGAAAAAGTATGGAGTAGTCATTATGCTTTCCTAGTATTGACCGTACACTTTATGTGTAACGGTCATTAAGGACTCAATAAATCCAAAAGGAATAGAAGTTAGAGACGAACCTAAAGATAAGATTGATATGCAAGTGTGACTTGCAAAAGTACTAATGAGGCAAAAGTACTCCCCTATCAGTTAACAGATAACTTCATTTCACATGAAGTAATCAGATGGATGAAATAGTCAATTGAAGTTTTCTCAATTCACAAAAGTTATGAATGTTTTTCGAAATTGTGGCAGAAAATTTCTTGCCACATTTCGAGGGGGAGAAAGAAATATTAGATAAATTAAGAATGATGAAACTCCCCTATACTTTAGATAATGTGATGCACATTATCCATTAATGAAGAATGTGATCGTCCGGGGGAGTACGACGGTCATAAGTAATACCCCTAAAGAAAAGAAATAGTTGTATTCCTGGATCTTTTATAGTTTCGACAGCTGACTAAGGAATACTAAGACGGTGCTTAAAAGTGCCAAAAAGAAAGTTTTAACAGAATAAACCCAAATAATAAAGTTTAAAGATACCCCATTTTAGTGAAGATGGAGTAATCTGGGGGAGCATGGTATGAAAATACCAAAGACTATAGAATTTATTTGCCTCTTGGCAAAGACAGAGCAACAACAGCCCCATATGAAAGAAGTGCTAGTACCTGAGACACAGATGGTCTTAAGGAATGAGATAATCAGATATTTCTGATTACTACAAAGTCCATGTTAGTGAAATTCAAATGGAGGTTGATCCCACCTCATTTAAAGTGTTCAACCGAGCCTTTGAGACTCATAAGTAATTTCCAATGGAGCCAAAACAGTAGGCTGTAAAGGGTCCACAAGGTCAATGTGACTCCAAAGGAAATATATTACAATGAGTGTTAAGTGCCACATCATGATCGACATCATGATCTGAGTTACATCAGATGAAAGTAAAGAACGCAAGGGATGCTGCTTCAAGAAGTGCTTTTATGGACTAGAGCAAGTCTCTAGACAGTGACATTTAAAGTTGAAAGAATCATATGTAATTTTGGGTTAAAGAAAATGTGAGGACAATTGTATTCGTGCAAAGTTATAGAATGGGAAATTCATTTCCTTATTCTGTGCATGTGGATGACATCCTACTTGCCAGTGGTGATGTCAATCTACTGCAGGAGGAGAAAATAAGTTCTTGTCCTCAAAGTTCAAAAGAATGTTCTCGGTAGTGTCTCTCGTTATAAGTATCGAGATTCACGAAGAAAAGAATAAAAGGGGTATTAGGGATGTCGCATGGACATGCTAAGAGAGGTCTCTGAAGTATGCATGCGAGAAAACCTACGCCTGTTCTTATAGTCAAGGGTAATGGAACTGGAAACTATGGTGTTCCAAAAGATTCAAAACGGATATGGTACCATATGCTTCAGTTATTGGAAGCTCATATATTACCCTGACACAGTTCACGTATCCGGATTGTTTTGGCAATGTCCAGTCCATGTATAGATCACTGGAATGGAGTCAAAGATATCAGCCTCATGCTGAAAGAAATAAGTGCTCTCAAAAGATTGTGAGTACAGAGACAGGACTTGTGAAATGTATAGTGAAATCCACAATTGTCGCTAACTTTCATACTTGGAGATTTTTGTGTGGAAAAGCTCCAAAGAATGAAACAATTATCATCAATGTGATGCAAAGATATTTTATAGCTTGATATGAGGCTGAGGGACAGGCAAAATGGTTAAGGAGACCTGTACCCGGAGTTGATAATGGTTGACAACAGCGATAACTATTTTAAGTCTTTCGCTCCTATGACAACGAGTCAAGTGTTGATGCCAAACACATTGACACAAAGTTATACGTTGTTAAGGAGAAAGTCCGGAATTATGTTGAAATGCTTGGAGCATGAAAGCAACAGACAAGTATTTGCAGATCTGCTTATTAAAGGCTTACCGCCCAGTGTGTTCGGAGAACACACAATCGACATGGGTTTTATGGTATAGTCTAACATTTCCGGACAATAAAAGGGCCCAAGGTTAAAGAATCTGTTTCAAAACAGAGGAGTGTGTTGTAGGTGTTGATTCTATCGGAAATGAACCGTGATGATGAGACATGCTCTACATGCAAATCTGTGATGGAACGAGTACTTTGAAAAGAGTTATTTCAAAGTATAAAAGTTAAAAGTATATGATGAGATCAAGGGGGAGAATGTTAGGTTGATCTCTCCACCAATGGGCCCAACGGCTCATTGGGCCCTTGACCCACGCCCTGATCGGGGGCGTCCAGCCCAAGCAAGGCTGGTGGGCCCCTATCGCGCAGTGCTATAAAGAGGAGGTGGGGACCAGGGGCACAGGGTACGAGGTTCGTCACCGCCACTGTTCCCCACTCCTAACCCTATCCGATCCAGAGGGAGGCACTGAAGCGATGGGAAGCTCCATCGCTGCCACTCACGCACTTCACCGTCGACCTCTACACCGACCGTCGCTGCCCGTGCACAGACCTTCATCGAAGGACCAGCTATGGCCGGAACGCTAAGGTATACGCGCAAACAGATCATAGATAGTTCAATCTACTCCGAAACCCTAGCCTAGTCGATCCTATGAGTATAACACGTTGTGCTCTCGATCAAGCACCATAGCAAGATGTACTGGCCGATTTCGTGAATGCCCACAACTTCGTGGATGTCTCGCGCCCAAAGGTGCCCCGGCAAGCCGTCGGCCACCGTCGTGGCCTTCCTTCTCCTTTTGGGAATGCATGAGTGCAGGAGAGGCGCGATTTCGCGGACAGAGCGTCCTCCAATCCATCTGTCCTCCCAGAACTTCGTGGTCTGACCGTTGCGAAGGACAGTGTAAGTGCTAGCAAAGAAGAAGGCGCGCTCCTCAGCGGAAAACTGCAGGTCCAAACCACTCCAAGTGCGGCGATCGTCGGTGCGGCTGAACCAGAGCCAACGGACACGGAGCGAAAGGCCCGTGCGCTCCAGGTCATGGACTCCCAGCCCACCCAAGGACAGTGGGCGGGCAACACGGCGCCAATTGCTTAAACACTTGTTTGATTTGCTGGGTGTACATATATAACACATTCTATTAGTTTCTACTGTTGTTCAATTTAAATTAAATATAGAATAGAAAAATGTTTTTCTGCTTGTAGAGAAAGGCAGATATACTGAGCAGGCGATCATATTTCATTCTGTTTATGATTATTCTGGTTTTGGTTTCAGGGGGATTTAGGAACTTCGCTTTTTCACTTGTTTCTACGGTAGAACTTTAGGGGATAATTATCGTTAGTGACATATAAAATAGAAGTGATCCAGTACCCAATTATCTGATAATTGTACAATCCTGGTTCAACTCGCAAAAAAAAAAGAGCATGATTCCTGAAGCTCACGTTCTTTGTGTAGCACAGAAGCATTTTTCCTTACTTAGTTATTGCATCCTCCTCTGTTTCACTATATCCATGCCCAGCCTTGGGAAACTCCGTTTCAATATATCTGTTCATCAAGGAATTAAAGGGTACAGCTACTGCAATGTTCTCACTTTATAGTTTATACTCCTATTTAATTGCTCTGGAAATTATCCTACAAGCTTTATCATTTGGCATTCAGGAGGTTTGCCATTTTTATGTTGTTAACACTTCTTCATTTATAATAGCTTTTATGGAGTAGGCATTTGAATTTTCCTATTGTAGGTATTTCGTCATCATTGATGATATTTGGAGTAATCAAGCATGGAAGATTATCAAGTGTGCTTTGTTTCCAAATGATGTTGGGAGCAAAATAATGACAACAACTTGCAGTATTACTATAGCCAAATTATGTTGCTCTCCTCAGCATGATCATGTCTATGAAATAATGCCTCTTACTGAAGCCAACTCTAAGAGTTTATTTTTGAAACGTATATTTGGCTCGGGAGATATGTGCCCTCCTAAGTTGGAAGAAGTCTCCTCGGAGATATTGAAGAAATGTGGTGGTTCACCCTTGGCGATTATTACAGTGGCTAGCTTGCTGGCTAATAAAGCTAGTACAAATGAAGAATGGGAGAGGGTATATAACTCAATCGGTTCGACACTGGAAAAAGATCCCGGTGTAGAAGAAATGAGAAAAACATTATCCCTCGGAGGACTGAGTATATTTCCAGAAGACTGAGATTAAGAGGGATCAATTGATAAGGAGGTGGATTGCTGAAGGATTTATTAATACAGAGGGTGGACAAGATTTGGAGGAGATAGGAGATGGGTATTTCAGTGACCTTATCAATAGGAGTATGGTTCAACCTGTGAGAATTCAATATGATGGTCGAGTTTATTCATGCCGAGTCCATGATATGATTCTTGATCTTCTTATATCCAAGTCAATTGAAGAAAATTTTGTTACCTTCTTTGGTGGCCAAAATCAGAAATTAGTGCTACAACATAAGATTCGTAGACTATCTCTGTGTTATTCCCAAGAGCACATCGCAGTTCCATCAACAGCGATCATTTCTCATTGCCGGTCGCTCAGTATATTTGGGTATGCTGAACAGATGCCTCCTCTTTCGAAGTTTAGAGTTCTGCGAGTACTTGATATAGAAAATGGTGAGGACATGGAAAGCAGTTTTATTGAACATGTAAGGACTCTTTGTCAGTTGAAATATTTGCGGCTCGATGTTAGAAGCATTTCTGCATTCCCTGAGCAATTAGGAGAACTACAGCATTTGCAGACTCTGGATATAAGATGGACAAAGATACAAAAATTGCCCAAAAGCATTGTTCAACTGCAAAATATGACATGTTTGCGTGTCAATAATCTTGAATTACCTGAAGGAATTGGGAATCTGCATGCTCTACAGGAGCTAAGAGAGATCAAAGTCAAGTGGGACAGTTTGGCATCTTCTTTGCTGGAACTGGGCAGCCTGACTAAATTGAGGATTCTTGGGCTGCGCTGGTGCATCATCGATACACACGGTAACAAAGAAATTTTTGTGGAGAACTTGGTCTCATCACTCTGTAAACTGGGTAGACTCAACCTTCGGTCTCTATGCATTAAGAGTGACTATGGTTATTCCATTCCTCTAAAAGAAATGTATGGTTATTCCATAGATTTCTTGCTGGATTCTTGGTTCCCATCCCCTCGTCTCCTCCAGAAATTTCAGATGGACGCGTACTATTTCTTTCCCAGAGTTCCAGTTTGGATCGCGTCACTTGACAACCTCTCGTACCTAGATATCAATATTAACCCTGTAGAAGAGGAGGCATTAGAGATCCTTGGAGGGTTACCTGCTTTGCTGCTTCTGTGTTTGTCATCAGAATCATCTGCTCAAAAACAAAGACTCGTTATAAGCAGCAACATGTTCATATGTCTGAAGGATTTCCGCTTCACCTGCTGGAGCAATGGCAAAGGACTGATATTTGAAGCTGGGGCCATGCCGAGTCTTGAGAAGCTGGAGGTTCCATTAGACGCAGGCAAAGATCTTGATTTTGGCATCCAGCACCTCTCTTCCCTTATGCATGTTACCGTGAAGATCATTTGCGGTGGTGCCACGGTTCGGGAGGTGGAGGCATCGGAGGAAGCCATCAGGGGCACAGTTACTCTCCTTCCGAACCACCCCACACTGGAAATCCGAATATGGGGTGATGAAAATATGGTGGAGGAGGACCAAGGGAGGGCTGAAGAGGAGATCCAGACAAGCACACAACTCATCTGACAAATTTTCAGGTTTTCTTTTGCCTCCCTTAGGCTGCATATTTTTTGTAATTTTCCTTGGAGCAAATTACACATGGATCACTGAACACATTGCAAAATACATATGGATCACTGAACACATACTGCTGGTTCAAGTATGTCTCTGAACTCCAAACTTGCATATTTAGATCACTGAGCTTAGTGGGTCAGTCTAGGAGTCTAGTTCAGTACCAGCATTTTGTCCTATGTTCACCGATGCCACCGTGCATACTGGCATGTGTGTAGTTATATCTAAAAAGGACAAATCTGGTAGGAACATCACCCATTATAGACTGGAGGTGTTCCATCCAACCAATGTTCTGACGAGCATGGGAAGGAATTTTCCCGGCCTAGTCCACCCAATCCTACACTTCGATTTTCTTGTTTCATATGATGCATAGAAAGTAAACCAAAACCATGATGCTCCTAAGAATGAATAAAAGAAGGCTCTTAGTTTAAACACTAGAAATTGAATGAGCATTTCAACAGTTTCAGTTGCCTGTATTACTAATATCTAGTAATACAGACATTTAATGGTTTAATTTGATAAATGCCACTCCAACTTCTGCATGCTTCAAAGAATGCTACTATGACCATCTGAGCATAAACACTTGTCAATACCACTGACATTTAATGGTTTAATTTGATAAATGCCATTCCAACTTCTGCATGCTTCAAAGAATGCCACTATGAGCATCTCAGCATAAACACTTGTCAATACCACTGTCATATTCGTGCCCGCATTTTCATTAGATTCCAGGAATGAATTCTTTTGGAAATGGCTGCCTGCAGTTGATACAGCTGGAGGCATCCTAATAGGTCTTAAGGATGATACATTTGAGATCCTATCTTGTGACATCCATAGTTTTTGTGTTTCCTGTCTTCTCAGATGCAGAAATAACCATAAAGAATGGAGACTTATCTATGTTTATGGTTCTGCATATGATGAGGGCAAGCTTGACTTTATTAATGAATTACATAGTGTAGCAGATGGGTGGGATGGTCCTACCATTATAGGTGGAGATTTTAACCTCATCAGAAATGCGGCTGAGAAATCCACTGGTGCTATTAATCACCACTGGGCTGATCTGTTCAATGACTGGATAAATAAATTCAGTCTAATAGAGATTAGTAATATTGGTAGGAGGTTTACCTGGGGTAACAATCAGGAGGATATGATCATGGCAACTCTGGATAGAGTTTTTGTAACCACTGACTGGGAAGCTATGTTCCCTGCAGTACATCTTAAGGCATTACCTAGGGTTGCTAGTGATCATACACCTTTGTTGCTGGATTCTGGTGGTATACCTGTTGCTAAGCATAGGATGTTTAGATTTGAAAAGTGGTGGATTGGTGTGGAGGGTTTTGATGAACTTGTCCATAAAACCTGGAACACCAAGTGTTTGCATACCAAAGCCATTGATATTTGGCAGTTTAAAACTAGATTGATGAGGAAAGTCCTTAAGGGCTGGAGTATTAATATAGAAGTTACCAAGAATAGGCAGAAGCAATCCTTGGTTGCTGAATATAATTGTTTGGATATTATGGCTGAAACTCAACCTTTATTCCCTGCTTCTAAAGAAAAAATGAAAAATATTTCAGGTGAGCTGCAGGACATATGGAGGAGGGAAGAAATTAAGGCCAGACAAAGATCTAGAGAGAGAGAAGTACTGGAGGGGGAGCTAAATACATGATACTTTCAAGCTGTTGCAAACCAAAAAAGAAGGAAAAAACAGATTGCAATGCTGGAAGGAGAGGATGGACCTGTTGAAGACCCCAAAGGTATACCTGACCTTACTGTTCAGTTCTATAAAAAACTATTTGGCTTTACCCCCAAACTTAATATTCACCTCAAAAAAGGGTTTTGGGGAGAGGATGGGATAGTTTCCAGGGCTCATAATGAAAAACTTGATGCTCCTTTTTCTGAGGAAGAAATCAAGGCTGCTGTCTTTGGCTCTTATGCTGAAGGGGCCCCAGGCCCAGATGGCTTCTCCTTTTTATTTTATCAGCACTTTTGGGATTTGATTAAGCCAAACTTGCTTGCTCTTTTTGCAGACTGGGAAAAAGGGGAGCTTGATTTATATAGGCTTAATTTCTCCCTTCTTACTTTGGTTCCTAAAGAACCAAATGCTGTTAGACTAGAAAGATTTAGACCTCTTGCCATGACCAATTGTAGTTTTATTTTTTTTTCTAAATGCTGTACAAATAGGTTTGGTCCAGTATGTGATGATATTATCTTACAAAACCAAACTGCCTTTATGAAAGGGAGGTTCATTATGGAGAGCATAGTTGCTGCTCATGAGATTGTGCACTCTTTGGCCTCCTCTAAACTTCCTGGTTTTGTTTTCAAACTTGACTATGAGAAAGCTTATGACATGATAAATAGAGATTTCCTTTTTGAAGTGTTATCCAGTAGAGGCTTTAGCCCTAAATGGATTGAGAGAATTAGAACTCTAATAGTTAATGGATCTATTGGTGTCAGAGTTAATGACACCAATAGTGACTTCTTTATCACAGGTAAAGGGGTGAAACAGGGTGATCCTATTTCCCCTTTACTTTTCAACGTGGTTGCTGATGCATTCACTAGAATGTTAGTTGAAGCAGCCAGGTATAATTTGATTTCTGGTGTTTTCCCAAACACCAAACCTTTTGGGGTCATCAGTATGCAGTATGCAGATGATACTCTTCTTTTCATGAGCAAGAATTTAGATCATGCCAAAAATCTCAAATGGCTCCTGTCATGTTTTGAGCAAATGTCTGGCATGAGAATTAACTTTCACAAATGTGACTTGGTTCCCATAAATGTAGATGGGGATGAGGCCCAACTTTTTGCCCAAACTTTGGGGTGTAGATTAGGTGTGTTCCCAATTAAATATTTAGGTGCTCCTCTTCATTATGCTAAGTTGAAGAGAGAAGATCTACAACCCCTGGTAGATAAGATTCTTAAGAAAGCCTCAGGGTGGAGGGGACGTCTCTTATCCATAGGTAAGAGACGTGTGCTAGTCCAATCTAATTTGGCTAGCATCCCTGCCTATTTGGTGGGGGTAATTAAACTCCCAAAATGGGCAACCACTCTCATTAACTCGCAGCTAGCTAATTGCTTCTAGGATGATTATGAAGGCCATCATAAATACCACCTTACTTCATGGGGGACTGTTGCCCTTAAGAAGGAACATGGTGGTCTTGGTGTTACTAATATTGCTGATATGAACTTATGCCTCCTTGCTTCTTGGGCTAAAAGATACTTTTCTGGAGATAATAAGATTTGGAAACTTATTATTGATGACAAGTACAGCACTAGTAAACCAAATATTTTTGCTTGCTCCAGCAATGGGGCCTCCCCTCTCTGGAAAGGTATTTTATGGGCCATTAAAGCCTCTAAGTTGGGGTACTCCTGGGTTGTGGGGAATGGCAAGAAGATTCGTTTTTGGGAGGATGAGTGGTTTGGTAATGCGCCACTATCCACTCAATTTTGGGATCTATATTCTTTGGCTAATGATCATAACATTTCTATATATAAAATCTGGGATGGGATTGATCTTAAGATCACCTTTAGGAGGTGTCTAGGGGGTGATCAAATCTCTGACTGGATGGACCTTGTCTCTATTGCTAGTACTATTACCTTTAAAGATTGTGAGGATACTCCAGTATGGAAGTACAGTGCAAATGGGCAATATTCAGTTAGATCTTTTTACAACATTGTGAACTTTAGGGGAATCCTCCCCGTCCATACACAGTATGTGTGGAAGCTGAAGATTGTCCCTAGAGTACAAATTTTCCTTTGGCTGGTCTATAATAACAAGATTTTAACCAGAGATAATCTTGTTAAAAGGCAGCATGTCCCTGACATGACCTGCATGTTTTGCTCTGAGCCGGAATCTTGCCAGCATTTATTTTTTGAATGTGTAGTGTCGATTGAACTCTGGAGAGTTATTGGAGACATGTCAGGAGTTGGCAAGGTCTCTGATATTGAGAAACTTGCGGCTTGGTGGGTTTCCAATAAGAAACATGCAGTTGTGAATGCTTTACATGCAGCTGTTATGTGGTCTCTCTGGAAAATCAGGAATAACCTGTGTTTCAATCGCTCTGTGTGGTCTGGAATGCAGAAAATATGGAGACAGGTGGCTATGGAGCTAGCAGCATGGGAGGTTCTGTTCTCAAACGATGCAAAAATCCAGGTCTCTGCTGTGGTGAAAAACCTCGAGAAGCTTGCCAGAGATCCTCATATGCTGATGTGGCCAGACCCCCGGTTGATCCTTTCAAGTTGCACGTGGGGGCGAAACTGAAAAAAGAAGATTGATGCTGATGCTGCTACTCTCTTTCTGTTTTGAATAGAGAGCACAAGATGTAAACCCCCCTGTGTACCTTTTAATTTTTTTCTTTTGTTCCAGTAGACTTGAGGGTTGCTTTCTATGTTAGCTTGGTGTAGTTCAGCTCTAGGATAGTTTTGTGTTTCTTGCTGAGACAGCTTGGTGTGCTGTGCTCCGCGGGCTGTATTGGTGAATGCTTGTCACACTGGTTTCGTTGCTTGCAATGGAACCGGGGCTGCGTGCCCTTTTGCTCTAAAAAAAATATGGACCAAATGCCCTTGTCCTCATATTTAATTGATTTGGCACGCCTTGTTTCCTTTCCGGAAGATTCAACAATTGCTGTCCTGGCAGGTAACTTTACAGTCGGTCTAGCAGAAGGAAGCAAAGGAACAAAGTGAATTTCCAGGTGATTGAATCATGGACCTCCGGCCAAAAGCTGCACCCTTGATGTCAGGGTCTTCCTCCAGACAATCAGCAATTCCCAAATGATCTGATTGCTCAGGCCGTGCTGCAGATCTTCTATTCTGTTGTCTGGCAGCGCCGCTACAGCAGAGCGCTTCTCTCTCCGGCAATGCTTGAGCATCCAGGTATGAACCGAGGTTGCCTCAGCGATGAGATCCTTGCCGAGTGTCACGCCCCAAACGCAACACTCTGAAGAAGAGAAGCGTAAGCTGAAGCAGACTGACGAAGCTGAACCAGTGCAAGTGCATGGCACCATTCAGGGTGAAGCAACGACTGGTGAGCTGGCAGGCGGGACCCGCAAGTCAGCTCGACCCCCATCCCCGTCCAAGAGATATTCCGAAGACCTTTCAAAAAAAAAGAGATATCTCGAAGAGGTCTTGTGTTA